ACATATGTTTCATGTATGGAAAGGATTTTTAAAATCTATTTTGGAAATAACTGGGTGGTGAGATTTAAAACAATTTATTTTTCTTAATAAATTTCTGCATTTTTAGAATTTTTTACATAAAGAATGAAATATGTTAATAAACAATAAAGATAATATTGTCATTTTCTTTTAAACAGGAAGGGATGAATTATAAAGAGTCTTGCTTTGTAACTATAATTTCTCTAATCTACATTAGAACACTCTTGAATTTGGAAAGATATAGCCAACTCATTTTTAATTATTCGTCAATGACATTACAGTTTGAGAATTACTATCTTAATCAACATTTAGTATAAAGGATACTCTGTGTCTACAGGTTATAATAGAATTCCATATAGTCTACAAATACCAAGTTTGAGCTTACCATGTACTCTTCACTTTCTTCTCTATAGTCATCCAATTCTTTATCCAGGCGAGACATATTTTTACTGATTTCATCGAGTTCTGCTTGTAAGCTCTTGTATTCCTGGAGGCCAGTGTCAAAACTTCTCTTGTAGACTTGTCTTTGTTGATCTGAAGTGATAGGTGGATATTCCCTAAAAATTAACATAGAAAAGTGATACATACGTATTCCTACCCATTGCCACTGAGGCAATTCTGACTCCTGGCAACTGTATAGGAATGCCCATGGCGCTGTGGGATAATGCACGGGACTGCAAGGTCAGCGGTTCAAATTCACCAGTTGCTCCTCAGAAATGGATAAAGGGATCGCTATGAGTCAGAACTAACTTGCTGGCATTTAACAACAGGGTTTCCAAGCCTTCACATCTTTATAGAAGTAAACTGCTACAATTTTCTTGCATAACCACGCTGGCTGTACCAGCAGGGTTCTTAAGCTTTTATTGTTGTTGCTAAGTGCGGTCATGTTAATTTGACTCATAATGATCCTGTGGTTTCTGAGGCTACTTGTCTTTTGTTTTGTTTTTTTATAATTGCTCTATTTTGTTCTTTTTATTCTAAGAATGGAGTCTATTTTAAACACAGATAATTAGCTGGTCAAATTTATAATCAAGACATGTATCTATACTTGACCAGAGGTAGGCTAGTCTAAACTTATGTTAAATACAAACATTTAATAATATTCTGAAGTCATATCTCATTTAGCTCCCTCCTTAAGAAATACAAAGTCTTTTTCTAAATAGCTAAAAAGTCTACAATAAACTAGAGTTTGCTAAGAGTAGAGGTACTCTGGTTAACATGCATTCAAAATGGTGTGGCCAGTGGAAAAGAGATCATTATAAAATATGAATGCAATCCTTACCAATGTACATTGAGCAATTTTCCCCCACAGAAAAAATGGCAGCCCCCACAAAAAGAGGTCTCATGCTATAAAGATTTATCATTTCCAAATCAAAGTGAAAGGAACTTGAATAGTAATTTACCAATTTTGTTTTCTGTTATCTGTCTGAAAGATATCTCGCTAAAAATTGGTATCTGACACAACAGAACCTATATACTGGCAAAATGTAATATTGTAGTGACAATATAGAAGTTGATTGTTACAGACATGTTAAACCCACTGAGTACTAAACGGTTACATCTTATTTATACAGAACACTAGTCCAATAACAAAACTGGAGAACAGCAGCTAGAAATGTATCTCAGTGTTCAGATATAAAAGG